GAAGACTAAGATCAAGAGTGAGAATGGAAAGCCGTCTCTCTGTGCCACCACGTTGTCCTATAAACAGATTCACAAAAGGAAGAAAAAGAAACCTAAGCACTTCAAAAGCAAACACAAGAACATTGTTGATCCTGTATTTCTTGCTGACTTGGAGGACTTGACAGCTGGGATGCAGCAGTGCTCCATCTCCAAGGTACCAGTCATCCAGCAGACCAAACCTGGCGAGATCCTGTTGCCGTCTATCTTTCGACTGAGAAAGGTATCTCTGGCTGCCAAGAAGCGAAGAGGAAGTGAGAAGACACGGACAAGTGACCGAGAATCAGGAACAGAAGGAGAGAGTGGAAAGGAGAAAGCTTCAGGGAAAAGGAAGAAGAAACTGCAAGAAATTCCAAAACAGGTAATTCATAGTTTTTTGCTTCAAGTTTGGATTCATTTTTTATTTCTAAGCAATAACTCATAAACAGTCTGTTTAGATAAAAAGAAATTGATTTTTAGGAAAGTTGTAATAGATTACCATTTTATTAATACAGTTATGTTTGCATTGTGGTAATAATGTATGCTTGTTTAGAAGGTATGACAAAGTTTTTTTTTAGATTAATTAATGAATTTATTTATTTATTTATTTATTTATTTATTTATTTATTTATACATAATTTTGCTTCATCTCTATAACACTGAATTGATGAATTTTCCCCCTGCTCAATCTCCAGGGCCGAGAGCGGACTGAAGCAAATGAACAAAGATTACCACTGAAGAAGCGCCATCGCCACATCTCCACAGCAGTGCCAGCTACTCCAGAACCACCAAAAGTTGATAACATCAAGAGTGAGGTCATTGTAACAAAAGCCAGTGAAAAAGCAAATTGTGTTGAAAAGGAGACCAGGCTTGAGAAACAGGAGAAAGAGAAAGCAGAGAAGAATGAACAGAGGGCAGAAAAAGTTCCTGTACCTAAGACTGGACTCCTGACTGAAACACACAAGCCTGTGAGAACAGAGAATAAGCTCATTAGACAGAGCAGCTACGAACTGAACAAGAAATCTGATGAAGCTGAAGTGGTTAACACAGTTGCAAAGAAGTTAGACGATGAGGTTGTACCAAAGGCAACTGATACTGAAGAGCCTTTAAAAATCACAGAAGTTGTAACTTTAAAGAAGGCTGATGAAGCTGAAAAGGAAAACAAGGCTACCAGAGTCAGTATAGCAGATCCAGCAGAAAACAAAGCAGTAGAGAAGCCAGATGCAGTCTCCAAATCCACTGAAGTGCCAATATCAACACGAACCACAACAACCACACCTAAGAAGCGACACAGGTTGGAAGTAGACTTATCAACTTCTCCGGCAGCAACAACCAGAGCAAATGCAGGGCTAGTGAAGAGCAAGAATGAGAAGGAGATGCCCAAGGTCAAGGAGAAGGAAGTGACATCACTCAAAGCCCCAGTAACCAAATCCCCAAAAGCCAGTAAAGAGCCATGCATCAAAGAGGTTGAGACTTCACCACCTGCAGCACTAAAAGCAGAGGAGAAAACTCCTGATGACAGTCCTAAGATCATGCCTGTTGAAGAAGAGAAGCCAAGTAGTGATACAGCTGTAACCGAATCCCAAGTACCTGTTGAATCGGTGACGGAAACAAATGTTGCCGTTGAATCTAAACCTGAAACCGAACCCATCAAAGAAAGCTCTGGCACACATTCAGATAGTGATATACCAAGTGAGCATGAGCCACTCTATGAAAGTGATCAGAGTGGTTTCATGTCTGATAAAGAGGGACCCAAAGAAATACCCGTGAAGGTACCACAGAAGAGACGGAAGAAGAAACGGGAACTGAGATCTCCCATTCCAAAAGTAACAGATAAGCCCACTCCTGCTGAGGTCACAGAGGACAATGAGCCACCTCCACCTAAGAAGAAGAAGAAGATCAAGAGGCGAAAGACCAACCGAACAGGCTTCCCAACCATCAGGAAGAAGAAAAGAAAGCCCAAAGATCCCTCCGCTCAAAAGGATGATGAAAATGGTGAGGAGAAGAGTCCTGATGTTGAATCCAGTGTTGAAAATACCCTGGAATGTGATAGAAGTGAGAAAATGGAATCTGAGCAGGAGAAAGGAAATGAAGTAGAGAAGGAGGAATCACTTGATCAACAAGAATGTGAAACTGATGAGGCAAAATTGGCCTTGGATAAGAATGAGAAATCTTTATCAAAAAGCCCAGTACCAAAACCAGTGCCCAGGCCAAGAGGAAGGCCAAAGAAGATAAACACAGATGCCAAACTGTCAAGAACCCCATCAGAATCTCCATCTCAGTCCCCCGAAAAAGCTCCAAAGCAACTTCGAGAATCATTAAGGGAAAGAAGGTCAGGAAAAGTTACAGATACTCCACAAGAAGAAAAAATATCTGAACCAGATCAAGATGAACAACAGCTAGAAAAGATCTTGGAAAGGGTTGCCACAGGTATAGGAGGAAGAACACGTAGGAAGAGAGATCTTAGTGAAGAGAGTGTCAAGACTGTTCAGAGTGAAGGAAAAAGACAGAAGAGACACGTGGAGGATGATGTAAGTGTTTCAATATTTATCATTAAAAAGTAGAAAATAAAATAAAGAAATATGGATTGTTCACCCTGATCCTATTTTAGATTAATTTTAGATCTCAGATTAATTTGTCATACATACTTTAGCGTTTTGTAATAATTATAAGCTTATTTGATTATTATTTCTCAGGTTGAAGACAGTGACGCAGTGGTTCTTTCATCTGAGTCCATGCCAAGTAGTGAGCCTCCCTCTGGCGATGAAAGCACCAGAACTTTACCAGGGAAGAGGAAAGTACCGCGGTGGAGAAAGAAGTACTTAGTGGCTGGACTCTTTTCAGATTACTATAAAGAGGATGAGTAAGTGAAAAGACAATTTGAATCCTTATGAACTATCAAGTAAAATTCTGAGTGTTTTCTTCATGAGATGGTTATTTATTGTTTCATTAGGAGATTTAACTTTTTTCCTTTTTCCAGACCAAGAAGAAGAAACGGTGAAGTTTACTTGCCAAAGAACAAACTAACTTATGACCCAGAGGAACATGTGCATGGCCTCCTTCCCCCTCCTTGCTATTGTCGAAAGTGGCTTAGAGAAAGGGAGATTGACTTTGTGTTACCATATGACCTCTGGTGGCTGCACGAGCACAACATGTTACCAGGGAGGGACATTGTGCCTTCTTGGAACTACAAGAAGATCAAATCGAGTAAGTGTATGTTGATCATTCGTGTTCAGTCAGATAGATAGATATATCTGTACAGCTTGTTTTTGTGATAGTGACTTTATATTCAAATATTTTGATACATTTTGGTAATATCCATATATATGTATAATCAGGAGGCTAGTACTCAAAGGATTTTTTGTTTTACAGATGTATATTATGATGTCAAGCCACATTATGACTATGAACTGCAGGCATGTAATTGTAAGCGGCCTGCTAATCCTGAAGAACGAGGTTGTGGTGATGACTGTATTAACAAAATGATGCTGATTGAATGCTCTGCACAGACATGCCCAATTGGAGATGCCTGTGGCAATCAGCCCATTCAAAGACATGAGTACCGTACATGCCTTCAAAGGTTCATGACCCCTAATAAGGGCTGGGGAATTAGAGCAACAATGGAAATAAAAGGTGGAACTTTCATCCTTGAATATGTTGGGGAAGTCGTGAGTGAAAAGGAATTCAAGCACAGGATGCAAACCAGATATGCAAATGACACCCATCATTACTGCCTTAATCTTGACAGAGGAATGGTCATTGATGGCCATAGAATGGGAGGTGATTGCCGCTTTGTCAATCATTCTTGTGATCCCAATTGTGAAATGCTAAAGTGGTATGTGAATGGCCAGTATCGCATGGCTCTATTTGCACTGAAGGATGTCCAACCTGGACAAGAATTGACATATGACTACAACTTTTCCCTTTTCAACCCTGCTGAAGGACAAGAATGCAAGTGTGGTTCGAGCAACTGTCGGGGAGTCATTGGTGCTAAATCACAAAGAGTAAATGGAATTGTGGATGACAAAAAAAAGGTTCCAAAGAAAGATGTTGGAAAGAAACGCAAGCGTGGAGGAACAGCAGAAGTCGATGCAAGCTACATTCCCCGTCCACATTTTACTCCTATTAAACCCCTGTCACATCAGCAGCAGCTGTTTATCCTCACTCATAGATGCTTCCTAATACGCAACTTGGAGAAAGTAAAGAGGTTTCGTGAAAGGCTTGCTAGGTGTCCCGAGAAGAAAGCAGAGGAGGTTTTAGATGATCAAGAAGAACCTAGTACAAGAGTGGAGAAATTTCTCACTCATTTTACAGCACTCAACACTGCCAGGTCGGTTAAGACGAGGCGCTTAGCCCAGGCAGAGGATGATCCTGAGATGACTCGATTGGCAAAGTTAGCACAGATCTTCAAAGATATTTATGATAAGCTTGTTGCTTCAAGAGATTGCAAAGATAAACCCTTAGCCACTCCATTTATGACTTTACCTTCCAAAAAGAAGTATCCAAATTATTACACTAGAGTAGGAGAACCCATAGACCTAGCTATGATAGAGAAGAACATACTTACAGGATATTATATTACAGCAGAAGCATTTGACCGTGATGTGATGCGACTCTTCGCTAACAACCTTAGATTCTTTGGAAGAAACACAGAAATTGGTCAGATGGCAGTGGGTCTAAGACGAGTGTACAGTGAATGCAAACTTCAGTTTAAACCTTTGTTGGAAGAGGTTCTTGGAGAGGATGCCCTTCCACCTGCTTTTGCAAATTCCAGTCCCAATGAAGAATTTGAAGATGAAGATGTTATTAGATGTGTGTGCAACCTACATCGTGATGAGGGAGTGATGATCCAGTGTGAGAGATGTCTTGTTTGGCAGCACTGTGACTGCATGGGCGTGACGGATTCTCCAGATCATTACTTGTGTGAGGAATGCTCTCCTCGTTTGGTGTCTCCTGAGGTGCCCATGAATCCTCAACCTCCTGATGCACCTAAAGACCACAAGTACTTCATAACATTATTGCGTGATAATCTTCAAGTTAAGCAAGGTATGTTTTGCAAAGTGTATTTAAGTTCAGTATTCCTTCCCTTTCATTCTGTAGTAGTATCAAATACAGCTGAACAGTAACTCATAGTGACAAAAATTTTTGTGTTTTGTGAATAACTATTGTAAGTGAGTTATTCAGTTTGCATTACCAACCTTTAGTTTTCAAAAATGGATATTTCCTAGAAGTTTGGATTTAGATTTAATGAGACTCTCAAACCTGAGCATCGGTTGTGTGACACACTTTCTTGATTCTTTCAGGGGACAGTGTTTACATCTTAAGAGATCGTCCACCACAGAAGGCAGGAGAAAGAAAACAACCAGCCTATAAGCTTGTTAAGGATGTGAAGCCTCATGATCTCTTAATATTCAAAATTGAAAATCTGTGGATTGATGAAAAGTAAGTAATTGGCTTCTGAATGAGGTATTGTGATCTTTTAAGTGTTTGAAATAAATTTTGTTCATGCACTGATAAAAGTTATATATGTTAAAAGTACATAGAGTTAAAACCTTTTACTGTATGAGTAACAGTTGAGTAGAATTTAATATATGTATATATTTTTTGTTTTAGGGGTGATAAATTTGCATTTGGACACCACTACTTGCGACCACACGAGACGTTCCATGAACCATGGCGCAAGTTCTTCCCCAACGAAGTTATTCGATCCCCATTATGTGAAATCTTACCACTTGACATGGTGGTGAACCATTGTTGGGTGCTGGACTTGAACAGCTATTGTAGAGGCCGGCCAATTGGGGCACAAGAAGACCATGTGTATATTTGCGAGTATCGAGTTGACAAGGTTGCTCGAGTGTTCTCAAAGATCAGCAAACCAAAGTATCCCATCTGCATCAAGCCATATGCCTTCATTACATTTCCAGAGAGATTAAGGCCTCAGCGAACATATACAGTAAGTGTATTCGTTAGTATATTTAGAAATTGCAGTCCTTTTAACTCACTGGCACTAGGTACATGATGTGCTGCTCACTGTAATTTTGTTTTGTGAAATTTGTTTACACATAGGTGGTTCCACACATACATATCAGGTACTATGAAATCAGTTAATAAGCCCTATGTGACTACCTGGTTTTCCTCATTTCCTGAATTTTCTAAAAAAAAATACTTTTACATAATTCTGTTAATATCAATAGTGTTGTTATTATTATTATTATTATTATTATTATTATTATTATTATTATTATTATTCTTACTGACATGATGATTATTATTGACACGTGATGAGTAGTTGACTCCTAAGCACATGTAGATGTTAGAAAACATGAAGTGGTCTGAGTCATGATTCATGCATCATGTTGCTAACGATAGCATATAATGCGGTACCATTTTAGTTTATATTGTAACTTGGGAACCAATCAAGACTTTCTTTGTGTAGCAAACTGCATTTGAAAGAGAAATATGTGTAGTGTTATAATTAATTAGATAATAGATTTTCATAGAAGGAAAGATTGAGAAAATGAACAGAAATATCCACAAATTTCATCTAGATTTATTCAGTACAGTAGCAATCAAACTTATTAATTAATACATTGATTATGCAAATGCATACATTTTTCAAAGCCGCTAAATAGCAACGTATATTAGATTATATAATAAATATCTTTCTACAAATATTGGATACATCCACATTGCATGAACAGTCAGACTATCAGCTTAACGGTCTGATTCCAGAATGTTATGGCTGTCTCGACGGCACGGAGGTACCCCTCAAACTGCCCTCACGTTTTAAACATACATAGCCTAAAACGTCAAGTAACATTCTATTTCACTTATAATATATTAGTTAGGTCGCCATTTCATTATCTCACAGTATCGATCATGATCATACTAAGAGCTGTTGCCACTTCCTATGGCAGGACCCCTTGTACAAACACATTTTTGACAGGTCAGCTCTCATGGCTGATACGGACCATGTGTTGACCTGGTGATACTCACCGAGGCCTTCTCAACACTTGTGACACAGAAGAGGAGTTTATACCATATAGGCCTCTCCGATTGCTGTGTTAAAGAATATGTGATGTACAAAATATATGATATACAGCTACTAATATGAAGTATGTGATATACTAGCAGCTACATACTTACTGTACCCACGTATCCATGTGTACACATAGGTACATGGTTACATGCATATGTACATATATTTACACATACCTATTTAAGTACACATCTTCACATGTGTGCATATTTGTGTTGGTGTACATATATACACACATGGATATATACTTCTATATAGACATGCACAAACTTGTACTTGTATGAAAACATCAATATAAGTAGACCTTGTCCCTGGATTGAGTTGTTCTAAAAAATAGGATTTTTCTATCAAACAAAATATGAACTGAAACCTCTTCAATCTTTTCTCCTTCGTGAAAAAAGATCTGATCCCCCGTACTGCTATTTGCGAATATTTCTTATTTAAATTTATTTAATTTATGTTTTATATTTTTTTAAAACTATTTTTAATTTTTATTTTTACTTATTTATTTATTGATCTATTTCAGCCCCACGAGGTCATCTCTAATGGCCGTGGCCGTGGTGGAGGTGGTGGAAGCTCAAAAGATACTCATGGTGGAGGAAGTGAAGAACGCACAAGCAACACCAATAGCAGCACAGGTGGTAGCAGCAGCAGCAGCAGCAGCAGTTCCAGCAGCAGCAGCAGCAGCAGCAGTAGCAGCAGCAGTAGTAGTTCCAGCAGCAGCAGCACTGCAACCAGCAACACAACTTCAGCAGCTGTAACCACATCAAAGGCAGCTGCATCAAGTGCATCTCACCACAACAGCAGTGAAACCAACAGCAGCAGCAGTAGCAGTAGGAGCAGCAGGTCCCGAGACCGAGGGGCAGCTTCAACTACGGACGAGATAGATGACCATACCCCGCTGGCCACTGTAAGAGCTGAGGCCAGGGCACAAAAGGCATGTGATAGCTGGCACCCAACCACCCCCTGGCTTTTTTTCTTGATTAAGATCCTTGTACACCCTGCTGATGCTTTTCAGCTGGTGGTGGGAGATTACTGTTTCTATCCTTTCATTTTCTGGGATCATCTGGCTTTTGCATGGGATATGTCTTTTATCGGCGCTTCTTACCGACTCGCTTAGATGACCTGTAGAAATCTTTCTGGGGATTTTTTCATGCATATTCCTCTTTTTTTTTTTTCTGAAGTCTTCTATGATTTCACACATTTCCTAATTTTCGTGGTATTTCACAATACAGTGTTAGTCTTAAACATAAGTTTTGTGCACTGTAGTAAGAATTTATCTTTTAAACTTCAGGATTTGGTAATTTAAGCATGCTGTTGCACCTTCAAATTGGGATTTTAAATATTTATTCATTTTTTCACAAGCAAATTGATCATAAGTTTTATTGTGTTGAGCACGTCAAGCAAAAATTGTTAATATCCCTACCCTGTCTAGTACAGCCTTTCTCTGCTTGGTAGGATTTATGATATGCTGCTTAATAGAGAATGTATTCTTCAACTATTATTGTACTTATATCATTATTTAGATAGTGGAGACTTGAGTGTGGGTGATCTCTCTCTCTCTCTCTCTCTCTCTCTCTCTCTCTCTCTCTCTCTCTCTCTCTCTCTCTCTCTCTCTCTCTCTCTCTCTCTCTCTCTTCTCTTTTTCTCTCTTTTTCTGTTTCTATCTATTTCTCTCTTTCTCTCTATTTCTCTGTTTCTCTGTTTCTCTCTCTTTTTCTCTCTTTTTCTCTCTCTGTTTCTCTCTTTTTCTCTCTCTGTTTCTCTCTTTCTCTCTCTGTTTCTCTCTTTCTCTCTCTGTTTCTCTGTATCTCTTACTTTCCCTCTCTGTTTCTCTCTCTCTCTCTCTCTCTCTCTCTCTCTCTCTCTCTCTCTCTCTCTCTCTCTCTCTCTCTCTCTCTCTCTCTCTCTCTCTCTCTCTCTCTCTCTCTCTCTCTATTTCTCTCTTTCTATCTATTTCTCTCTTTCTCTGTTTCTCTCTTTTTCTCTCTCTGTTTCTCTCTTTCTCTCTCTCTGTTTCCCTCTTTCTTTCTCTCTTTCTCTCTTTGTGAGATGCTATTTTTATTGATATTATGGAAACAATGAGTTAAAGAGATGAAGAAATAGAGATCATCATCCTAGTTACTTTATAACACTGATCAATAAGTTGTAATCTTTATAATTTAGTAAATTTTTGCTGAAACTAATTCTTTTCCTTCTTTGTTTTTGTCAACAGCGTGCCAAAAAGCGTATTCGTGTCAACAAAGTTGCAACAAACTTACTGAAACTCCTGCCAACAAAAGGAGCCATCGATCTCAGCTATTTACTGGAGAATAACAAGAGGCAGCGGAAGAAAACTGCAGCCTTTGCTTCCTGAGATTGGCTCATAGGCTGGAACGGCCACCTCACTCTGAAGGAATTAGAGGGCCAGGTATAATGATCAGAATGGGATGTGGTATTTTGTTAGATATTTACGTCTTTACATATTTATCTTTATATGGGCAGATGTGTTTGATATGTGCTTAGTTTTGGTACAGAATTAGTGAATTGTTTCAGGAAAGTGTTTTACATGGAGTGCTGGAAAGCTAGTATACATGAAAGAAAAAGAGAACAGAACAAAGTCATGCTATGGCATCATTATCTCTGATGGACCATCAAATTGAGAAGAAGGTCATTTGATTGCCATTGATTAAAAATTGAATAAAAAGATTGTTGATTTTGAAATTAAAGGAAAAATTTTGTTATTAGTGTTTATGAGAAAATGATGAAAGTATTTAAACAGTGTAAGGAAGAGACTGTACTTAATTTGCTGGAATTTCAATATACTGTAGCTGACTATACACATGAAAATTTTGGTGCTTATTTTAGTAATAGAGGATTAACAAATATCTTAAATGTGGCCAAAGCTTTACATGCAAGAAGCACTACAAAGGTTTTGAAATTATTTGTGTTTGTGTACATATAGAGCAGAGAATGACAAGATTGCTAGGAAGGTAATGAAATTTTCTTTTTTGGGGGGAAACAAGGAAACAAAATCATGAGTGGATTTTAGCAGATGAAATGATGGATAAGTATCTATATAAATTCCTATGGAATAGCTAAGTTAGGATAGAAATGATCAAATTGGTCTTATTCATGATGGTGAAAACCCAAATTTTGGACAGAATTTTATATTTTTTTGTATTGTGAAATTACAATTATTATGTAATTTTTGATATTTGAAAATAGCTGCTCTTTTGACAGAAATGTTTCGTGATGCAATTGATGACCTGGAGTGAGATGAAAGCTTTTTTGTCTTGATATAAAGTAATGGTACAATGCCAAAAATGTTCCAGGCATTTAGTGAATACATATTTTTTTTCCCCAGTAATTACAGACTGTTCAGGAGATGTTAAATTCCAGGCAAGTGGTGGTACCAGACAGGCAGCTAAAGGACTGCATAACTAGAAAATATGTTTGTGTGAATATGTTAAGATTGTTTGAGGAAGGCATTGTTCTAGCCTTGTACATAACATTTCATACCCAGATTATGCCATAGGTATAAATGAAGAACTGTTGTACTTATTTGACTTCATACACAAGTTCAGCACAATAAGATTATATAAACACCTGTAATTTTTTCATCATGGCTGTAAGTCCTCCACTTCTGTAATTGTACTGCTTGTGTAGATCCATAGCTGTAAGAGTACAAAGTGTTTTTTCACTAGTGTATATTAAACTTGAGAGTACGTTTTTTTCTGTAGGTTAACTAGTCACTGGACACATTGCCATGCATTTGGTAAATCCTTCCATCACCCTGTGTACAAGCAAGGATATGAAACTTGTTGTTTGATGCAGATCTCAGTATTAGATACTGAATTCCCATGCAAGAGTATGTAATACTCATATGTACACTTTCTTACTTGTAAATTAAGCCAACAAATCAAAATTTTTATAAAACTAGAAAAGGATGAATTTTTGTAGTAGATGTATAATCTATGATAGTAAGTACAAGGATTTTTAAGTTATTTGATTGAGATTTTTAATATATACTTTTAATAATGAATTTTACACTAAGTCAGATTTCTGGTTTCTCTCAAGTATGTGTAAATATTGTTTGACTGGAGAGCGAGAAAGTGACTGAATGCTGTGCATTGTTGTGTGTAATATAGAAGGAATATTTTTATAATAATACCTGTCAGGCAGCTCTTTTGTTCACGTCATTGTTATGGTGTCGTACACCCTTTGCTGTTTCCCACATGTTGTGTTTATGTTTGTGTATATTATCACCTGGCAAGAAACAGAAACATTAGAAAGCTTTCGCACAAAGAGGCTAAGACAGGAAGTCCTGTAAACTCAAGGCCTCAAAAGTCAATAAAGTTTTTAATTTCTTACCAGGTGGTGTCTGTCTGTTTTGGTCCAGAAGTTATAGAGAAGGGGAGGCACTTTTCTGTAGGGGTTTAACTTTTTTCAATAGTAAAATTGGAATGACTTCTATAATTCCAGGGAAATTTATAGGCAGTTAATTATTTATTAGTACAATTGTTTTGTAAATTGAATGTGTCTCCTTTTTACAGTTATGTATTAAAAAGATTGACAATGGGAAAAAAATTGCCTAAAATGCACAATAGAATTGTTGCAGGATGACAGTTGTATAGAGGTTGAAGCTGTAATTATTGCGTTATACAACTAATGATGTATAGATCCCCTTGCATATGCCATTTTGAAGCTTGCATTCCAAGTGTTCCTCCCCTAATAAATCTAGGCAAATGATAGTGCATATTTGTAGAATATGTATGGTGTAACAAGTGAGTGACAGATTTTGCTACTGTTTGGATGTTGTTTATCCTTTGTATTGGAGCACTGGTAGTTACCTGCTCTTATGTCTCTGTTACCGTGTCCTGCTCTATTGTTCACACTTTATTGTAGTGTCTCCCAACAGTTTCTGATGACTCACTCACAATAGGATTAAGCTGATACAACAGTACCATTAGTTCAGAAGCTTTTTTTGCCAGTTAATTGCTGTTGACCAATGTTGTGCATGGTTCATGTGACAGCTGTTCAGTAGCTCGGACCAAAGTTGATAATAGTTGGTAGCTGTGTTGACCCATTTACTGTGGCGGTAACTTGGTGTTTGTCAACTTTACCTGCTACTTCAACTATGGCCCTCCAACCCCCCCATCCTCATCATACCTAAGCAGTTTACAATTTTTTCCCCTAGTTATACTTATTTGTTGGGAGCTCCTCTGTGTCGTAGATTTTAAAAGTTTTATGTTCTTCTATCCCATGTACAAGTGGCGGGAAGGTGCATACCCTCACAATCACAAACCAAATCTTGCTTTAACTGTCCTACAATATGCATCATTACTGCAGTTCATACAAAATTTTTCATGACAATAGCCCAATATGCATCTTCCCTTATCTCAGGACATAAAGTTCATTTGTACATAACCATGAAATTCATCTCAGAATAAATTATAATTTTAAATCTATTTTTCATAACCTTGAATACCCATAAAAGGTTTTATATAGAGAATCCTCTCTGTGGATATAAGGTAAAGTTTGAAAAATATGTATAATTCTTTACTAAGAATGCAAGTTTAAGGGAACTTGTACCTAAAAAAAAATTGCCAAAAATGTGGTACTTGATAAGCCTAATCTTGATACTTGGTTGAAGGTGTCCACCTAAAAGATATACTTGGAGAAATAGGCTTAACATCCCTTTTGGTTATGAATTTTAATCTTTCAGTTAATCACTCGCCAAACCACCAATGTTAGGTTGCCAGACATCAGGGGAACATCATGGTCCTATTTGTATTGATTTCTTGCAAAACTTAATAAAATGGTCTTTTTTTAATCTTGAATATTGACAACTTAGTCATGAAAAAATATATATATATATTGCTGAACATAGCTTAAAAAAAAAAGTGGAGGTTTCAAAACTAGCACACAAAAATAATAATTAACAAATAATCATAAGGGTGAAAACATTTCCCAGATTTGTTATTGAAGCCCCCCCCCTTTTTTTTTATGATACTCCATATTTAGGTATCTGAAGGTAACATGGATAATCCTCTGTTTTAAAAGATGTTGCATTTTCACTTCATGTTCCAAGTGCCCAATTTCTGAAGTATTTTAGGTTTTGGGAATAGTGAATAAAAATCAGGTTTCACAGTGAACCATGTTGCAGAGTAGACAAACATAATACAAAAATTACACTAGAGATGAGTGTTTGTCAGCATATACACAGTAAAATATTTACAAATATAGTGATTACCAAATTCTGGTGAACTGGCTACACTACAGTACACACTGGCATTATCCTGGGTAATGCTTGCCATTGGTATGTCCTTTTTGAGAAGTGCTTTATATTGAGACTAGCAGCACCCAATGACTGATGATACCTCTAAATGACATACTGCTATTACTAAAGCAGTATTTGTCCTTACAAAAATATGAAGAAACACTAAGTCACTATGTATACTGCTGAACACAACTGGATAATGTTTCACTCACATATGGAAGATCCTTTCCTTAATGCTGCTATAATATACATTTTGTTGCAAAAATAAATAGAGCTGAGAGTTCAACAGCAGATTCCATTCACTTATAATAGTGTAAAACACCTATAATATTCATTTCCTCTAAAATGCTGAAATATGAAATAACATCTCTTGCTTTCTACGGTTTATGATTTACATGCCTTCCTATTTTAGTTGATAGTGTATTCATTAAAAGTACTTAAGCATTTGAAGCTTCTACATCAGGTACAGAAATAAACCTAAGATTTGTCAGACGCACCTTAAGCCCAGAGTGAAGAGGCATTAGGCTGACAATCGCACAATACATAACATTCTCACCAAGTTCAAAAATATTAAGAACAATCCAACCTGTCAGCTAACACTTAAAAAGCTATGTGAACACTAGACATCATTTAAATTTAGTTTTTGCCTAAAATCCTGACATGCAAAGGAATGGATACAGTGAACCAATGAAATTGAAATCTAATCAATTTGGTAAAAATTAATCATCTTACAAAAAGGAAATCTACTGTGAGATCTTGAATATTACAATCTACATATAACTACGAGAAATCAATGTGCTCTAGCAACATACTAACTGGGTCATAACTGGGTTCAGGATTTTTTTTCTTCTTCTTTTTCTTAACCAGTGTGTTGTTAAAACATAAAATTACAAATGGCATATGGATTTAGATATGCTGAGTACAATGATCACTGAACAATACAATGCTAATAAATGCAATTCAGATGGAAGCATGCCTTAGATTATTCCAATATTTTTTTTTTTTTTGAAGAGCATACTCATTTCAAATATTTTCCTGTGATTGATTACAATAAATTTTATAACTGAATTAGCATCAGCACTGTATCATCAAAAATTTCCCTTACATTACTTGAAAGCACATTTAATGTAATTTACATTTATTCTTCTGTGAAAGAAGTATCCTTTTTTTAGCCTAAAAATAAATCAGAATACACAATACACATTAATAGAATAAAAAGAAAATCTAAAAAGAAAATTCAGTTCAAGAAGAAATGATGTAGAAGGAAATCAATAACATTTCAAATTAAAATACATCTAATCACTCTTATAAAAGAGAATCAAGAAATCCAGGACAGCAAGTCTGGTGTCAAAAATCCAGAATTTACAAAGTTTGTCTATGAGACATTTATATCGGTCTAAAAATGAGCATCATTGCTTCCTTATTACAGCAATATCAAATGTCTAATTGTCTTCGAAGGAAGGTTCTACTCCTTTTTCTCGTCTTCTCGGTTGTCTGTCACAGTTCCAACAATCTGCGCATACTCCGTCTTTTCTTCGGCTTTCACTTCTGTTTTTTTATCAGATTCGCTCTTGCCAAGGTCTAGCTCTGCATACACCACCTGTTAAAACAAAATAATTTTTCTTATTTAATTCCTTCCTTTACATGCTTTATCATTTTTGCTATTATAGTTTTTCCAAAAATA